AGTACCTTACATTTGTCTATGTTAAATTTCATCTGCCAGGTGTCAGCCCAGTCACTAATTAAATTAAGATCCCGCTGTAGCTGCTGAGCCGCTAGTTCAGTATCTGCTACACCACCCACCTTGGTGTCATCTGCAAATTTCACCAGTCCTTAGGACCCCCAGAGGGTCCACATTTTTGCTCCCAAAAATGTGGACTGTCTGGCAGGGAACTGTGAGAGAGCAATATCCTGGGGGTCCCCAACGATTGGGTTGAGAAACACTGAATTACACCATTTTCTGGAGTAAATCTATATAGAAGCATAATTTAGCAATTAAAAAACATTCCAGTGTACATTTTAGAAATGGTCCTAATATAATTTATGTCTATTATCTTCTATCTGTAAATTTCAGTTCATGGAGAATTCACTGTGCCTCATCCTATGAAGCTCTGTGAAGATCTCAGCTGAAGTTTCAGCAGAGGTTCTACACACTTAATTTTTCAAGTTTTAAAGGGCAGGATGGAACTCTGTTTTCTCTGGGTTCTTTGTCCTGGGTGTGACATTAATCTACATCTAGTCCTGCAAGGAGGTCCTCCAACTTACAGGGAAAACTTGGGGGTTGGTGGCAGGATTGGCACTCCAGCCACCAGAAAAATCTCACGCTGGTCAATTTGGACTAGTGTTGTGCTGAGGTATCACCAACTGCACAGCTGTTCTCAGGTTCTCATCCCTGAGGTTGTTTGTTGTATGGTGGGTGTGGTAACGCGCTGTAATCAGCACACACCCCTTACCCCTTACCAACCCAAAAGCTGCAGATTAGTGAGGTTATGGTCTGAGGATGTACCATAAAATAAAAATTGAATATCTACCCCAGCAGTGTCACATCCCCTCAGACATGGCTCTAAACTAGCCACACCTGGAGCTCGTTAGTCTTACCTCTTGTTCCTGCCCTCCAGTTAACCAGTGGCAGCTGCCTTATTTGATCCCTTGTTAGCTATATATATTAGCATCTCCCAGGATTGCGCTCCCTGTTTGGCTATTGTTGCATGTCAGTGTTCATGAACCTGCCCTGTTGCAGCTTAATAAACACCCGTATGCGGGGTCTGTTGGAATACATCCTGCAATTGGGTTGTGCCTTGTTTTGACATCATGACAATCAGAAGACATAAATAGGGTCTGGTTGGTGTAACCAAGACACAATAAAATTCCTTGCAGGTAACCCTTTGATAATCTGACTACTAAACATTTTATTTAAATACAGGCGCCTAAGCTGATGAGAAACCAGCACATTCTTCACGTTCAAAAGCAGTGACATCAATCTTAACACACAACAAAGAAATTGATTTGTTTTTGTTGCACATCAAAATAAACTTTATTATATTCCGTTGTCTTTTTTTGTTGTAACACTAGTGCATCTGATGTGACATGAAATGCTCTAACACTGTACAAAATAAATGTACCCAATACTTTTTCATGTTACCGGTAAGGCATGCATTCATGAATATGTAAAGCTACAAGATGTCTGATGGTAGGATGCAGAAACATTCAGCAACAGCACACAAGACATACTGGAAATCCCCTATATTTACGCAGCCTGCTCACTTTGTGACATATTTTAAAATCCTGTTCAGAATGGACACGGCCTACACATCATACTCAGCATGACAACCAGTTCACAAAAGCAACAAGATATACATTACTCAAAGTTTTTTTTTTTTTCTGGGGGTCCTGAAACACCAAGACAAGACCTTTGATTAGTTAACTGTGTTTCAGGGAAGAGGAGAAACTGTGTTCGTGTGAGATTGTGTGTGTGTGTGTGTTTTAGAGGGGAGGGGGGCAGGGTAGTCACATGACACGATTGCAAGACATACAACTTGGGACACACAAACATGACTTTTATGTGCAACCTTCACAGCAGGGACAACGCTATGGTGCGCAAAAGGCTCCTGGTCGCAGATCAAATGCTCACACTCTGACTTGCCGAAATTAATACAAAAACCGCTTTGGACAACTTGACGGAAAAATTAGAACGACACATTGAAAATGAAGGCCCCTGCTCTGCCCGACTCCTGTGCTTGTCTTGGCTCACGCAATGCAACCTTTATAATCTCATAACTCAAACCCCTCAAATAATAAAAAAATAAATTAAACATATGGTAAAGCGGTGAAGGTTTCATACAAGTTAATTGTCCTTTTAACTTGCTAACATATACCATATATGAATGCCTACAGTAGATTCACAATACTTCAAAAGCTCACCCAATGGACCTCTTGTATGTAATATAATACAGCCTTAAGTTGTAAAGAGTTATAGGTTATATTGTATTTCAATTTTGTTCTTAATCCCCAGGAAAAAGTGAAAATATGTACAGGGCAGAGATAGAGGACAGGCTACGAGCCATGGATATACCCATCCCACCACCCTGTAAGTGTTTTAGATATAGCAATGTAGGTGGGGCAGAGTCACGACTGCCACAGGAGACTGATGTGAGGACAGGGCGGTGGTGGGGGTCAAAGGTAGGTGAACTTGATGGTTCAGTTCTGCTGCTCTTGCTGTCGCATGCGGCAGCCAACAGCTGTGATCAGCGCTGCTCCCTTGCCGCTGCCATCCTCTGACAAAAGGAAGTTGACATCACACTGGGGTGCAAGCTCCTTCACCGTTTGGTGCATGACCTTTGAGAAGCTGGGGTGGAACAGGAGACACAGCCTCAAAACTATGCAGACAAACTAGTGAGCACATCCAGTATACCAAAGCCCAGGGAGTCAGTGGATGGTATCACAGAGTGTGGCTGGTTTAACTGGCAGTCCAGACCTGTACAAGATTACATCACCGTCATGCGGTACTCACTGTGGATGGAGCTTGTAGAGCGTGCCATCCACCCCCACAGTGATATCCAAGTGGTCCAGTCCTCGGTTCTCACGGATCTTGTCAACGACGGCAGCCATGCCAGCTCCACATAGCTGGGCGGCTCGGCGGGACACGGTGCCACACACTTCCTTGACAATGATACTGTCATCACACGTGCTGTCCAGGCCCAACTGCTGCAGAATTGATCTGACCTGCAGCAGTGCCAGCCGATCACTAGGGGGAAATAAATATGTTAACTCACAGACTTCCATGCTGTCAAGTTCAATTAGAAATTCATTTAATGGCAGGCGATCACTTACCTCTCAATCTGGGAAAGAAACTTGGTTTCAAAGATGCCCCGAGTTTTCAGGGTCTCTGAAATCTGCCCCCTGAACAGAAACCCTCGCTTTGTAAGGTCAATAAGGATGTTCCTGACGATCTCACCAAGGTACATCCCACTGCACATTTTCTCATACCTTAAATACAGAGGAAAACATGACCGATTCACTTGTCGCAGTGCTACTGCGTCTTAGCTTCAGCTAGGGTGACAATATCCATGTCAGGGAGGACACTGAGTTAGGACAGGATTGTTAACTACCATTTGAATTGAAACAAGTTGGATTTCACTTAAGCACAAAGTTCCTGTTGTGTGCTGACTGGTCTCCCAGAATCATTGATGTGTCCCTAATATGAAACAGCTGGAAGGAAACAAACCAATCAACTGAACTAAACTATTTAGGCAACCATAGGAGCCTTTCAGCATGGAGCGTTGCTCATGACATAATGATAAAATATATATAAATTGCAGCCACATTTTAATATATTATGGTAACAAATTAATAAAACATGACCATGATTTATACTAAAATGAGGGAAATAATTAGTTGGGTAAAGAGCCGTGACTTACAATATTCTACATAAGTGCCTCTCGGTAATATTTAAGACTTAAGAATGTGTTTATAGGTCATTCCAACCTGGTGTGACCACTTTCAATCAGATGAAATATAGGATTTCCCTCACAATAAAATATTCTGATCACACAATAAATTTGGCAGGGGGTGGGTAAAATTTATTTTGGAATTATTTTAAAACAACTATCTCAAACTATGTCCATACTACCAGATACAGATGTGTAGTGGCCTAATTGAAAGTGATGCATTAGGCAATAAAGCAAGCTATGTAGTAAAGCATGCCAAATTTTAACTAAATCATTATATCATGAGTGGGGCTCTGAATTTCAGCTGTAAAGTACTTTGTAAAAAATAAAGTACCTCAAAGTGTCCTCCCTGAATTCTTTCATCACACTGCTTTAGCCAAAGTGTAAAACAGTAAATGTGCATGCTAAAAAAGGTAATTAAAAAAATCTAATTTTATTTGTCACATGCTCCATCATACATAGTACAACCTGCAGTGAAATGCCAGACCTGCATGGGCTGATATTTGTGCCACTAGAAACTGAATATGAATTTTTTATATTTGAATCTGCAGTTATCCGCATTACAAAACTGAATCTGAATTTAATAGTTTGAATCTGAATTCCAGTAACTCCAAATAGCATTTATCCTACCTCAAAAAATTCAGTTCGCGAATTCAATTTCAATCTAGTGTGACACACCTAACTCGAGATAGCATTTATCCTACCTCGAAAAATTCAGTTCGCAAATTCAATTTCAATCTAGTGTGACACACATCCGAGTCCTTGAGAAAAAGTAATCAACTGCAGATTTTTCGAGGTAGGATAAATGCTATTTCGAGTTACTGGAATTCAGATTCAAACTATTAAATTCAGATTCAGTTTTGTAATGCGGATAACTGCAGATTCAAATATACAAAATTCATATTCATTTTCTAGTGGCACAAATATCAGCCCATACACCTGGACCTGGTTGAAGATATAAGACATGTGGCTTCAATTCAGAATAGTGACTCTAGAGAACATGAGGATTACTCACTTCTGTTTTCCGGCATTGAGTGAGAGCTCATCAACTGCCTCGTCATACTTCGTCCTGATGTCATCCAGGCACCCATTGTCCCCAAAGGCGCCCCATTCCATATTGACGCACATGCGGCCTTCGGTGCCCTCAACTGTCTCGATGTTGCGCATCTCCTCCATATAACACGCGTTGCTCCCAGTGCCTGGAAGCACACTGGCATGTGATGTGGCATCCATCTTTGCCAATACCCCACCCCCCATTTCACTTTACATGCTGGAACTGACCTGCGATGAGTCCAATCTCACAAGTGGGCTCTTCGTAAGCACATGTCATCATTGTCCCTACCGTGTCGTTCACCACAGCCACCACGTCCAGGTCAAACTCCTTCAGTTCAAAAACAAAATTCAGTGAATCAGTGAATGGACAAGTTACATGGTTCTTCTAGCATTTCCCATAACCTTAAACCAGATGTGGCCAATCTTAACCGCAAAGGGCCAGTGTGTATACAAGTTTTTGCTATAACCTTTAAATCAGCTGTTCAAACCCAGGTGTGAGGACTCTTCAGCCAATCAGTCTTCTAATCAGTAATCTAATTAGGGAGTTGCAGTGAAAACTGGCCTTTTCTGGATGAGATTGACCTCCTCTGCTTTAAACCCTTACATAATTCTGAATTTGAAAATTATTTAATGTACAAAGATTATGGTCTGAATACCATTTATGTCTACCTCAATTTAAAGTACTACAAGTGGCATCGAATTCAGTTCAATAGCTGTAGTACCATACTGGGATTCCATCATGTTTTCCATTATGCACTAAAGCATAGACAGTGCTGAGCTGACTGTGACTTCAGGCATCTCTGCTTACCTCCCTCCTCTTGATCCCCTCCCGGAGCAGGTTCACAACATCCTCACCCTCACAGTCAGTGGCCTTGAAACCTTTAGTCCATTTTATTAGGATACCCTGAGATAGAAGAAACCATTCAGTACCAGAGAAAGAAGGAAGCAGGAGAAGATAGAAAAAATAAGCTATTCTCATGTTAACTACCAGTGTAAACCACTGTCCTGATATAATTGCCCGTATTGTCCACAGGTGCAACTAGAGATATTTTCCATCATTAATTTCAGGTAGAGGTAGCTTAGTCATTCCTCTCCTGCCTCCAAAGTGAGACACCACTTCAGGATATTGTGGGTTGCTCGGAAATTAGCTGGGCATGAGAGGATCATCATACCGCATCCAGGCTGGTCTGTTTACAGGGAAAGGAGAAGGTGAATCCCAAAGGTAAACGGGCATTCTTCATTCCCATGTAGTCCAGGAAGTCAGAGATGCAGTGCACTATGTGATCAAAGAGCTAGGACACAATACCAAAGGGACACTAATTTGACATCAAGTTGACAATGAGCTCATGAAAAAGCATCTTGATATATCTATATCTTTCAACATGTTGGTAAAAAGAATCAGATCCAAAGGAATTTGATTTGGGTACAAATGTGTGGAATTCCCATTTAGTTACCTCTTCCCCAGTGCCCTGCATGATCTCTAGTGGGATAGCATAGATTTTGTTATGCATCTCCACAGTCCGCCTCTTTCCACTGCGAATCTTCACCAGCAGAACCCTGAAGTTTGTCCCCCCCAGGTCCAGTGCCAGGAAGTCCCCGTGTTCTGTCCGAGACAAGAGAGGGGATCACAGTTAGACTGTCAGATTAATCAACAGAGAAGCCTGTCATTCCGTTTATAGATGACTCTCTTTTTGAAAACAGGAGAGCAGGCCTCGGCCACATAAAACCCAAAGCCAAGAAGTCATGTCACATATACTATATAATTTTCTAATACCTCATTTCCACCAACATGGAGCTGGTGCACGGCGCTTGGTGTCTTTTGAGAACCAGCCTGCATTTCTACCGGTTGCAAAAAAGAATGGAACAGAAATGTTATGTAGGCAGAAGTGAAGAAAAGTGAAGGTTAATCCGTATTTCGTTTTTTGGATTTATTTTGCCGAAAAATTCGTATACAGTAACTGGTTGTGCTATATTGCCTTTTGTCTCCGTAAAGGCTCCCCATCTGTGTGTGAGTGTATTCTTTATTCTTGCTTGCTGTTTTATCGCTGTCCTTTTAAGGATCATGCAATAAAAGTAGAGTCTGTTAATAATTGATCTTTGTAGTCCCCCTCATGATCGCTTCGCCACTTGAGCACCACAATATTTTATTTATTCAACCTGTGACATATTTATATTTGATTGTTAAACATATTTATACAGACACTCCTCTACTTACGAATGAGATATGTTCCGAACGGCCGTTCATTACTTGAAATGTTGGTAAGTTGTTATTCAACATCATTTTAAGGGCATACGCAAATACAAAGAACTAGGATGCTGGGAGTATATACGCTACGCTGCTTCACGATGGGAGTAGCAGCCAGAAGTTGTACAGTGCCAGATTGAGAAAAAGTCCAGCACCAGCACTGCACTCTATTGGTGGAAACAAGGCTTAAGTTTCTGAAGTTATGTGATCTTTATCAGGGATTTGGTAAGTCAAATAAGGGCTGGTTAATACTTGATGCTCGCAGCGTGTCCGCATACACATCATGACCACCTCACATTTTCTGATTTGATTCCATGGAAGATATTCAAAACATAATATATTTTCAGATGCAAGAAAAAAAATATTCCAAACATTATTGTGTGCCTCTATGAACAGTGTTTAAATGGCAGTTTAAATTTCTACTGCTTCCGAATTCAATCTGAGCTAAGAAAGCAGTGTTGTGTGTACAAAGTACAATGAAATTCTTACAATTAACATACTATAAAGTATAGATATTTTATGGGTTCCACTGAAATGAAGGAAACTGATTATGCACACCTTGGTGTGTATGTTGATGCTTCCATGTCCCACTCTCACCAGTGTAGGGAAGCAATTAAAAAAGCCAGTAGGATGTTGGGTTATGCTAAGATTATACAATTCCTTGGTAAGACCCTAACTAGAATACTGTGTGCAGGTTTGGTCACCTTACCTTAAATAGGACATTGCTGCTTTACAAAGGGTTCAATGTAGGGCTACAAGAATGATTCCAGGTCTTAGAGGAATGTCTTATTACGAGAGGTTAGCTGAGCTAAATCTGTTCAGCCACTAGCAAAGGAGACTAAGGTGGGACGTGATCCAGGTATATAAGATTCTTACAGATCTGGATGCTGTTCAACTAATTGATTAACTTTGGTATTAATTTAAATACAAGAACTTGTGGTAATAGGTGGAAATTAGAGGGAGAACATTTTGAACTGGATTTAAGAAAGCATTTCTTTACACGGTGCGTAGTTGGAATAGCTGGAGTATGGAATTATCTTCCTGTAGTAGTGCAAGCTAAACCCTTGGGTTCCTTTAAATCAGAACTAGCTAAGATTTTAACAACTTTAAGCTATTAGTTGAAAAGAGTCTGATGGGCCGATTGGCTTCCTCTCATTTGTAAATTTCTTATGTTTTTATGTAAGCCGAACAGCATTTCCTCATTTCCCAGTGCTTTAGGTATTACCTGTCCCATCAGGCGTACTGCGGACGAAAGTGGGCAGCATCTTGACAGTGGAGGTGTTGTGGGATTGTTTGCCGAGCCCATTCTCTATCTCTATCCTCATCTTCCTCTTGACCACCAGCAGCTGCTCCTTTGTCAGCCGAAACTCAGCCAGTGTCTGGGCAATCTGCCGAGATTGATCCGCCAGCCGATAGGCCACCGCAGTCACCATGGCAGCACCCTTGGCACTCCCACTCTCTGACAGCAGGAAGCGCACGTCCGAATCTGGGACCAGGCGCCGTACAGTCTTGTGCAGACGTCGGGCATAGCTTTTGTTGGGGTGGGGTGGGGGAGGGGGGTTGTGATATATGATCAGAGGTCAAGTTGTCATGTCTATTGCCCTAGGTCCTTATGACCTAAGGTGGCCTTGTGGCCATCTCTTAGGTACTCACTGTGGGTGCATCTTGTAGAGGGAGCCATCGATGCCCACGGTGGTGCGCAGCCGTGGAGTACCCTTGTTGTCCTTCAGCCGGTGGAGGATAGCACCCAGTGTGGCCGCAATGAGGTTCGCAGAGCGGAATGAAACCACAGCACACACATGCTGCACAGCCACACAGTCATCATGCGACGGCTCCACTCCCAGCCGGGTCAGGATCTCCTTGGCCTTGGACAGGCCCTCCTTGCTCCTGAGCCACAAAGATGCAGAGAGATACGTCATTGTAGCTTTGTTAATCTATGCAAAGTCCACAAACTACACAGCAAGACTCATCTCTGTAGTTCCAGAGTAATCTGGGAAAGTTCCAGTGACGCCAGTTCTAGTTAAGTTTCATTTTCTTGGGCTCATAGTCAATAAAATAAAATTAACTCTAATCCTAGTGAAGGGTGTTAGCTCATAACTCAAGGTAGTGTCTAAGGACTTGTAGCCTGAAGGTTACTAGATCAGGTGATGAGGATGACTAACAGGTGGAATACTGATTACTAATACAGTTCAGCGAGTAGTTCTACTTATCCTGAATCATTCTATCAAAGTATTCAACTGGGTAACTACATAAGAATCATAATTGGAGTAACTGAGCATTGAGAGTGCCTAGAGGGGCCTTTCATTTCTCAAGTAGTCTTTCTGCTTATTAGGGAGACTGGACGATCCATGTCAGAAAGGGTATTTCAAGTTTTGCAAACTGCTTTAAAACTGAACAGCACCTGTACTTGGCTAAATAAGGTAGTGCAGTTTTTCTTGTGCTTTGAGTGGTTTGTTTCCTTGATTGAAAGACATCCAGTTGTTTCACAGTAACATTAGTAACACATGCATGATTATAGGAGACTGAACTGTCAGCACACAGCAATAACTCAGTGCATAAGTGAAATCCAGGTCCTTTCAATTCAAATGGTAGTTTACAAATTCAGTCTTACCTCAAAGTGTCCTCCCTGACATGGATTATCTGGACACCTTAATATATTCAAAGATAATCATACCTAAAATCTACATACCAATTCCAAATCTATAGCTTTCTTTTTATCTTGTCACTCCAATAATTATTGAAACAAGTGAATGGAACATTGGGACTAACTTCTCGATAGCAGAGACATGTTTTGTTTCAAATTTCCCTTTGGTGAGAAGCTCGGGGGTGATCCTTCCCTCAAACAGCATCCCCTCCTTGGCCATCTTGACCAGGATGAGGCGGACAAGTTCACCCATGTACAACCCGCTAACCATCTTCTCAAACCTGTCAAGAGAAGTTGCAGCATCGTCTTTAAGAGAACAATGTAACAGTTACTCAGTGGTAGTGTCTGATAAGACAATTAATATTACAAAAAAAAGTGCTGAATCACTGAATAGATGTTACATAACATCCAGTAGCACTGTACAAATGGAGGTTATGTGACTTCTTGTGACATCACATTGTAGAGATCACACTGCATGGTGCCTTACAGCTGTTTCCCTGGGTTGAGGGAGCCCCGGTCGATCTCCCGGTCAAACTCAGTGCGAATGTCCTCTAGCATGCCATCGTCGCCGAAAGCTCCCCACTCGGTGTTGATACACATGCGGCCCTCGTCTCCCTCTACCAGGTCGATGTGCCTCATCTCCTCCATGTAGCAGGCATTGGTGCCTGTCCCTGGTCACATTTTCAGGTCAATGTTTCTTTTGTTTATGCAAATTCTGCCGTCTTACAACCTCATTTCATCATATTAATGCCGCATTCAGCCTCTTAACAAATTGGCCCAGGTAACACTGCTTATCAGAGGACAAATTACCTATGATAATGCCAACTTCACAGCGCTGGTCGTCAAATCCACAGGTCATCATAGTTCCAACCGTGTCGTTGACCACTGCCATGATATCTGCATCATAGTCCTGTGAAATGCACATTGACCACATTGTGAGCCCACTGCTGCTGATTTTCTCTGCTTGATGAGTCACCAGGCTCTGCTGATGAAAAGGCAAAGCCGTACCCCTTGCTTCTTGATGGCCTTGTTGAGGAGCTTCACCACATCCATCCCCTCCACCCCACTAGCTTTGAAACGTTTTGTCCAGGTTAGCAAAATGCCCTGTAGGGGACAAAGGTCTCGGTGATTGCACATCAAGGGAGAATATCCTCACACAATAAGGTACAGTAGCATGGATTATCATACAAAATCTATGTAATTTATATCACATTGCTTTGTGAGTAGCAAAATAATTTAAGACTAGTAACTACAGGCAGTGACTGAAGGGTCCAAAGCATCAGAATGTCATCCACAGCATTGAAACAGAAAATGGAGTACTGACTCTCACTGGTGGCCGATGTGTTAAAAACTCAGACAGCAGTAAATACTGCTGTGATAGGTTGGGTAAATTCGAGTCTAGGCGTAACGGGTCAGGAGACATAGGACAGAATGTAGAAACCTGCAGTGTAGCACCTCCTCTGCATTGAAAGTCTGGTTTCGGTCAGATGGCCTGAGCAGTAGGCAGAAACAGACACCTTACTACCTAATGTTGTAGGCCAAGATCTTACAGGTTAAGGTTTGTTTATGCTGGCTGTGTAAACTTAGATTTTGTTCCATATTCAGAATATTGCTATTTTTTTTTTTCTTGGGGGGGGGGGGTCAATATAACTGCTGCAATTACAGGCTTTGGACCCCTAACTATTAATCAAAAGTATTAAATGGAAACAGAATCCTCAGGAATAACTTTACAGTCTATACATGTTGAAAGACTTCATGGAAAAGTGGGAACAGAGCAGAAACATTCTGAGTAAGATGTGATACATCATTTTAAAAACAAAACTGATAAATAATCCAAATGCAAAGGCCTGAAGTTTTGAATGTGATTCGTGAAATGGAGTACTGACTCCACCTACTGGCCAATTTCTTTTACAATATTCAAAAGTAGGGAATAGTATGTACCTGTATATTTGAATTAACTCTGACAAATTTGTATGACTGAAATGGCAGTAAAATGAAAGGCAATTAAAAGTATTGACTCAGAAGAATGGAAAGTTGACAATCTATTAATAAGGTTTTTGATATAAGCATATTTCAGCTGAATTGGCCAAGGTGGGTCTATCCGTAGTCCAGGACTACAGAATAGGGTCAAATTTGGTGCGGATGACTGAAGCATGCCTGAGATATAGCTGTCTGATTGAAATGGGTATGGAACTGGTAGAGGTTGGGTGTGGTTGATGGCCATACGGTACATGAAGTTTAAGCTTTTTTCATTGATTCATTAATCATTTATAAGGGCAGTGTGCTGACTCACATGCTACTAGAATTGGCTAGGTGGGGTGGACAATATAGTATTAATAGAAATATGTCTTTTATTAAATTTATAAAAATCACTAAGAAATTCAAATGACTGTCATTGAACAGTAAAACTATCTGGATTGGAACTGAAAGTAAAAAGGATTTTGACTAACTATTTGATATTCAAAGAGAAATTAGGAAAATGTCAGTTGCACTGTTTTTGAAGGTTTAGAGACTTATCCTCCTGAGACCCGACCTATTAATTTATGTCCATTGTAGTGGACATTGTATTTTTGCATTTATTTTTTCACTGATGTTGGGAAACGTATTTATTCTTGTTGTGCACTAAAGAGGACATGCTGTGAAATTAAAATAAGAATAAATTTGAAAAAATCTAAATTGTAAGATGTCTTATTTCCTCCAAAGACAAATAACCTACAATTGAAGGATACTTTTTTCCTTGTGTCTCAGGAGGATATGTTCAACTGCTGTAGCACCCACTACTGATGATCAGTGCCAAATTTGGCCTACTACGTACCTCTCCTAACTCAGCCAAAGACGAATGGCAATTCCTCACTGAGCAAAAGATGAAATGCATTCTGTGGTACCTTTCGTGATTCAGCAATAGATAAAATGCATTTTGTGGTACCTTTCATCATTCAGCAATAGTCAAAATGCATTTTGTGGTGCCTTTCATGACTCAGCAAGAGACTAAATGCATTTTGTGAATCCACAGAGTCACGATATGACTGCCTTTCATTCACAAAATGCATTTTCTCCACAAAATGACTTTCTTCTGTCCAAGAAATACAAAGTGCTGATTTCAATTCTGCGCACAAAATTAAACATCCCTTTTGATTTCTGTGCATGAAAGAAAGTCTTTTTGCTTTCATGGACAGAATGTAGCAAGACATTACTTGATTTTGTCATTAAATTTGTTGCATTTTTGTGGCACAGAATGTATTTTGTACATGAAAATGAGCACTTGACACTCGGCGCCCCATGTCACAGCAGGACATGCTTTGGATCGCTAAAAAACACAGCTCAATGTCCTTATCAGCTCGAGGTTGCCATGGTTCTTACCTCATCCAGTTTGCTTTGGGCACACGGGAAGGAGAAGGTCAGTCCGACTGGAAGCTTCTTGTCTTTTATTTTCTGCTTGTCCATGAAGTCACCGAGGCACTCTGCCACATAGTCAAAAAGCTGCAGGGAGCATGGTGGCATATTACGCTGAGTTGGATCGCACCAACACTGCGGGGCTGTGGGGATCAACTGCTGGCTGATGCTGGACTGGCGGATTCGGTGGCCACCATCTTACCCGGGTTCCACTCCCATGGATGATATCTTCTGGGGTGTCGTATATCTGACTCTCCATCTGCACCGTCTGCTTCTTCTCATGGGACACCTTCACCCGCAAGATTCGGAAGTTGGACCCTCCCAGGTCAAGAGCAATGAAATCTCCCTTTTCTGGATAAAAATCAGCACAAAATACTCTCAAATAATCTCTAACCAAATAATGACATAATTTCTAATCCAAAATAGGCACTTAATGTCTGACAAAAATATGACACAGAATAATAAACCACCTTCATCAGAATCTTTCAGGATCCAAATGAAATGTGATTTTGAAAATCACATTATTAGGATTAAATATCAATAAGAACACCAAATGATCCCAAGTCAAACACCATGAGAAGAGGTGATCCTGTTGCCATTAGCAATGCCATTCCATTCAGCGTCAGTGCTGCTCGCACACTCATTAAAATTAAAACCTACTTAAAACAAGATCCAGAGAAGAACTAACTTTGGTTGCATCGAGATTAACTTGCTAGCAGTATTAAGGGTAGCACTTGGTTAAAGAGCCGACTGTCTGAACTGAGTGACTAAGCATCAGCACTGAAGAATGACAGCCAGCCAAAGTGAGAATGTGAAACTCAGCCATTCTCCTGCTGGGGTGCCTGTACCGGAGTCCCTTACCATGCATTAATAAAAACATCCGTTCTACATTCTGTTGATTTTAGGTGCAGCCTAATTGGCTGAACTGGAATACAAATATAATTGGATGAGCATATACGGCCATTTACCCCATAAAATGCAGCTCACTAATTGCTATCATAAATCTATCTCCTCTCAGGGCGATCGGCCAGCTTCTGTGCAGCCTGGCAACAAGTGTAAGCGAATAAGCATGCATAAGGGAAGGCCTGACTGTCGCAGCCACATTAGCCATTAGCTTGCAGCCACATTAGCCATTAGCTTGTAGCCACATTAGTTGCTAGCTTCCAGCCACGTTACCAAATAAACTTACAGCCACATCAATCAATCAATCAATCAATCACTTTTATTGTCACAACACATTGCTGGTATACTGGTACAGTACATGTGAGTGAAATTCTTGTGTGCAAACTTCACAAGCAGTAGTGGTGTACAAAATATACAAATACAAAATATAAGAATAAATATACACATGAATAAATATGCGCATGAATGAATATGAATACAAAATATACATTTATATATATTTATACAGTGATCCCTCCGCTATATCGCAGTTAAGCTATCACGCCCTAGCTGCTATATCGCGGATTTTTCCCCGACGCATCACAGTTCTCTGCGTACCTTGCTTGTGATCCGATTGTTTTAGCTTTGTTTTAAACCCTACGATGGCTCCCAAGTGTCCTGCATCTTCTAAGCCTTCTGATAGTAGTGAGCCTAAGCGCCAGAGAAAGAACTTGACCATTCAGGAGAAGGTAAAAGTTCTGGATATGTTTTTGGTAGGAAAGCGCTGTCGCTCGCCATTGTGGCTTTAATGAATCGACAGAACGCTACACCAAGAAGGATGAAAATATATAAGCCACATATGTTTTTATTTTTATATATTTCATTACATATACAGAGAGAGAAATGTGTATATATATATACACATTACATATTATTATTTTATTGTTATTATTATTATTATGTTACTCATATCCTTAGCCCGACATCCACATATATGTGTTGTTTTAATAAGTGTACATGTGTTTAAAGCATGAGGGGGGGGGGGTATTTTAAGGCTTAAACTATCAAAAAATGTTTATTTATATGGTCTTTCTATATCGCGGATTTAATATGTAATATCCAGAGCTAGAGCAGATGGGTTAATTGCGTTACAAAAATTAATCAGATTAATCATGATGATGGATTAATCCACATTAACCTGTAAATTGTATATATATACTGTAATATGTGTTTAAAGAGTTTTCATTGTCAGTTACAACTAATTAATTTTGTTTTCACTGGATTAAACTGCGTTGTTGGATTAAAAAACAAACACACAAAAAAATCTTTTTTTTCTTACAGTTCTGCAATAATCACACCCCTGCCAAAAACACAGCTAAACCATAATAGTGTAGAAATGATTGTGTTTCTTGCTAAAAGTGTATAAACTGCTTACTGTTAAAGTTCCTCTCCCAAACGGTGATGACCCGGATACAGACAAGCTACGAAAAGCTTAAAAGTACAAGGGTGCCGATTGCTTAAAGTTATAGTACACTTAAACTTATTTTTCTGAGATTTGATGAAAACAGCAATTGTATGGATAGAGGAAGCGATTTAGCTGGCTGAGATTTCACCAGAAATATGTCAGCACCCATGTATGCATAGACACTTAACGTGACATGTACAGGTGATGCACTGCCACCAACAATTTTGTGGGCAGTATGGTCACCTTTTGTCATGGGACTATGTTTATGTATGGTACTGTTAGTATTAAAGTAGCATCTGATTTTTTTAAAGAATGAGTAGTCAGAAGATATTCAAAACAAACGAGGCAAGAGAAACAATTTTTCAACCATTATTGTGTTCCACTGTGTACAGTGTCTTCAAAATCTAATGCCATTTTAAGTTTCTTCTGCTTCTGAATTCAATCTGAACTAAGAAAGCAGTGTCATATGTACAAAGTACAATGAAATTCTTACTTGAATGCCTTCTCCACAGACTACAGACAATTAACAATACAATGTTACAGTACAAATCATACTAAGTAGGGCTGGGTGATGGGCAATATTCATATCGACATCGCAAGTTATGCACATGCAATTCTCACTTCGCAACTTGGATGAGATCAGGCTTTTGCATACCTTCATATTGAACATACATTATGAAGTGATATACCAATATTATTTTCCAGTGCAGTTCCGGTATTTAGAAATCTTGATGATAAAATACACCAAGAGCACATGGTTTTACGTTTTGTTAGAATATTTATGTTCTGTCACAGGAAAAAACACAGCCAGCCGGACTAGGGCCCAACAGTAGCCTGGCCTCCTGTGTTTTTGGAGATCCAGGTCCCAGGGAGACAGCTTAGGTTACGGGAAGCTAAACACCAGTATGGGACTTTAAGTGCAGAGAAGTATTGTGCCTGCGAAAAGGGTAGTCATGCTTGATTTGGGATGTCATGCAATACCCTTAACTTGATACCAAGCTTTACAAAAGCATAGCGTTTGCAGAGAACATTGTAATCGATATTACCAAAAGACCTGGTTAGGAAACTACTGTGTGAAGACAACATATTCTCACAGAATATTCACAAAATAACTCAGAATTTCACCAAACCACAGACACTATTTTCTAAAATAGCTTGTGTAGCAGTGAAATGAAAAGGCTCCTTACAGATACAGTATCATTGGTGCATGATCTAGTATCTGGTGTAGCAGATACTGAACTAGCGGCTCAGCAGCTACAGCGGGATCTTGATTTAATTAGTGACTGGGCCGATACCTGGCAGATGAAATTTAACATAGACAAATGTAAGGTACTCCATGTAGGGAGCAGAAATATAAAGTACAGGTATTTTATGGGACCTACTGAAATAAAGGTAGCTGATTATGAGAAAGACCTTGGTGTGTATGTTGATGCTTCCATGTCTCATTCTCGCCAGTGCGGGGAAGCAATAAAAAAGGCCAATAGGATGTTGGGGTATATCTCCAGGTGTGTGGAGTTTAAGTCAAGGGAGGTAATGCTAAGATTATACAATTCCTTGGTGAGACCTCACCTAGAATATTGTGTGCAGGTTTGGTCACCATATCATAAAAAGGACATTGCGGCCTTAGAAAAGGTGCAGCGTAGGGCCACAAGAATGATTCCAGGTCTTAGAGGAATGACATACGAGGAAAGGTTAGTTGAGCTAAATCTGTTCAGCCTCAAGCAAAGGAGACTGAGGGGGGACATGATCCAGGTCTATAAGATTCTAACAGGTTTGGATGCTGTTCAACCGAATAGTTACTTCAGCATTAGTTCAAATACAAGAACTCGTGGCCATAGGTGGAAATTAGCGGGAGAACATTTCAAACTAGATTTAAGGAAGCACATCTTTACACAGCATGTAGTCAGAGTATGGAATAGTCTTCCTGATAACATAGTGCAAGCTGAATCTTTGGGTTCCTTAAATCAGAGCTAGATAAGATTTTAACAACTCTGAGCTATTAGTTAAGTTCTCCCCAAGCGAGCTCGAAGGGGCCGAATGGCCTCCTCTCGTTTGTATAGTTCTTATGTTCTTAGAGTGATGAAACTCTGCGAGATCATGTAGAAACATGCAAAATTTCAGAATGTGCCAAATTACAGGAGGACACTTGTTCTTCCTGTGTGTACACCTCATAACAGTCCCTGAAGCCACATTAATTACTTTGCATAGCATCGTATGTTAATGTATAATACAAAAATGCAGATACACGTGCATCCTGGCTGCAGATGTTGGGGCTACTGTTTTCATAGAACTGCTCTTGTGCCGTTCACGGTGTTGTGGCGATGGAAGGTAATGCTAACATGCTAATGTGCCAAATGGATGCTAGACCCTGTTTTGGTGGTTTTTAAGCACCATGATGGTTCCCGGTTCTCAGCCTGCATGCTGTACGCGCTGCTATTTGGAGGGCAGACAGCGCAATGGCGCTGAAATTGAGTGACGGCCGTTCTCTTGCTATAGACATAGAATACCATTTGTCTGCCCAAAAAAACACAATACGGGACCTGGAGTCATATTTATTTAGTTGGGGGGGGGCTGTCATTGCAGCTTTCGGTAATTACCCGACCTTTTGCAATTCATGTTTTCCCCCCTGTACATACACAATGCTCGAGGCAGTCGCCGAGGTTACATTCCAGCTGGGTCCTGTTGTCATGGAAACCTCCATGTTGCTCGGGGCCCAGTATCTTGAGCATACACGCAGAGATCCTGAGGTGCACCAGACAAGTGAAAGAGGAGACACAGTTCTTTTTATGTGTATGGCAAGCTGCTGTGTATGTTCTATTAGACTGTAGTGGCCTTAATGACTATGACTGAGGCCAGCTGGGGATGTGTCATCAGTTCAGGCCATACCAAATGGCTTAACAAACTCACCAGGAAGGCCAACTACTTCACAGAATTGACCCTGGAGAAGACGGCCAGGGAGTGCTATCCTGGAGCACATTTAGCCACTGGCTCATTCCACCATGGTGTGCTAAAAAGGGCTACTGCGGATCATTCCTACCTGCCTGCCATGAGGCGCTATAGTGTCCCCTCCCAATGTCTCCCCCACCTCAAGGTATAGCATGGCATTTTAACTTATTTGCATTATGTGCACTGTATGTGCAAGTCAGGAATAAAATATACAATTTTAGGAAGGCAAACTCTAATGAGATAAATCAGAAATTAGAGATGGAGGTAAATACTGGAAGAAACGTGGCAATTTAAAAAAAAAAGTAGAAAGGAAAGTTGCATTGCAGTCTAAGGTCAATCAAAGTATTTCAGTGCCAAAAGGGTTCTAAAAGTCATCAATCTACAGAATAGTGCTGGTCTGAATATTGAGAATGATGAGGACATTGTTAGTGAGTTTAATGATTACCTTGCATGAGTATTTACTCAAAAAGATATACTGTAAGTAACATACCTGATATTTCAAATTCAGCTCCAACAATATATGTATAACTGAAGCTGATGTGTTACAAGGTCTGGCTAAGTAAAATTAATAAATCTCATGGCCCTGATGGCATCTTCTTGAGTTATGGATATGGGGGATATTATATGCAGACCTATAACTTGGCTACCCTCAGGCTGGAAGCACGCAAATATAATGCCCATTTTCAAAAAGGGAGATAGAAGCAATCCCTCAAACTATAGACCAGTTAGCTTAACTTGTATAACCGGATAACTGGTGGAGGCAATAATCTAGGGAAAAGTCATTGGATTACTAAACACTAATAATATTCTGAGGGACAGCCAACATGAGTTTAGGAGGGGTAGATCCTGTCTGACTAATCTACTTGAGTTTTTTAAGGAGGCCACAAGGGAAATTGTTAGAAACAAGGCCTACAATGTGATTTACAGTGGAACCCGCTTATAGTGATCACGGTTATACTGATTAACCACTTATACAGATGAAAAAGCTTAGGACAGAATAATTCCTTTACAAATACTGTTTAAATAATTTGCTTTTAGTAATCATGTAATCTGCTTTCATACATGCCAACATATGGAAAAATTAAACAGTGGTAATTCCTTTTTTTTTTTTAACAAAAAACTACCTGAGGCTAATGCTACATGTATAGAAAACATGACCATACAAAAAAATGAAAAATATAGACTCAAAGCTTATGATAAACTGTCAAAAACAAGCCAACAAGATGCAGCAGGGAAACCACAATAAGCTATATTTTATATACAGTACTGTATTATAGTGAATCTGAGCTATACAGTTCAGTAATTTAATTTATACATTACTGTAATTTGAAAAGTATTTTAAACAGCTGTACTCTATTTTGAAAGAGTCAAAATTCAGTAAATAGTGATGCTGTCCTTTCTATTACCTTACATTCATGTAGTAAATATACAAATGTCAATTAGATGGAAATCTGACATAAAGAAAGACAAAAAATCTGTTATAATGATCATCCGCTTATAGTGATCAATTTTTACCCAAACAGAGGTGATCACTATATGCAGGTTCCACTGTATTTAGATTTCCAGAAGTCCATCGAAGTAATCCCACACAAACAATTCCTGCTTAAGCTCAAAGCAGCAGGTATATTAGGAACTGTAGCAGATTGGATCGAAAACTGATTAATCGACAGATAGCAGCAGGTATAGAGTGTGTAGCACCAGAGGCCCTATTACACAATTAGGAATAACAAAGTGGCCTGTGTTAAGAGTGGGGTACCCCAGGGTTCAATTTTAAGACCATTATTATTCCTAATTTACATGAATGATATTGACACTAACATATATGAAAGACTGGTTAAATTTGCTGATGGCACCAACTTAGCAGGTGTAGCAAATTCTTTTCACAGTGTGTAATTAGATTATGGAATAGTCTGCCCAAAGGGGTAGTGCAAGCTAAAACCCTTGATTCCTTCAAATCTGAACTTCACAGGATCCTGCCAACTTTAAATTATTAGTTTAAATCCCTCAAAGCAAGCTTGATGGGCTAAATGGCCTCCCTCGTTTGTAACTTTATGTTTTTGTATTCTTTTGTTTTTGCGCTGTCTGTTTTGCACTCTGTGTATGTCCATCTTTGCATTACTAATCACACTGCCGTGTGTACAAGAATGTCCCCCTGAGATAAAAAAAAAGGTCAATCTTAATCTATCTAATCAAAGTGAAATGGTGAAATGGAGGGAGGTGCATCATCCTCTCTCTGGCCATGTTCACACCTTGTATTAACATGCATCCTTGGTGATCCAATCACAAGTGGACAGCGCTAAATACGTCTGTTCACACCTGGTATTAGCATGAGTCTCCGCATGTGTCTCGAACCAACCGTTTGTAATCAGATCTCACTTTCCAGCAACTTATTTAAATAAGCACGTAAATCGCTTCCGTATGCAGAATCTGATGAATGTTAAGAAGAAGAAATGAAAAGTCTTAATACTAAAAATGAAATTACTAAATATATCTATAAATAAATATTTCAATAATTAATGTGTGCTTTTATTTTTAAATAATTCCATAAAGGGTGTTATATTTCTTAATAATGTTTATCTTCTGCCTATTATCTTTAAATTGTATTTCGTAATAAAGGTCTGATTTTCATTCAACAGTCATTATTATAAAATATTATTTCACATAATGCAAATGTGGTGTCTTCAACAATTCAAACTGTATTTCACAGTAAAGTTCAACTTTTCACATTTCAGGCAAGCATTTTATACTGCGTCAAGAAGATACAAATGTACGTTTTAAAAAGGTCTTTCACTACTTAGGTTAATATTTTTCTATTCAAGGGCAAAGGGTTTAGTGTGTAATGCATTATGTTGGTCGCTATATGATAATATTTCAGCTTTTAATCATAACCAATGAAACTCAAAATTGGTTAAAATTTGTCTGATACGCTGAATTATATGTTTGACTTGGAGCAAGTTAAGTAAAAGAAGCTGGGGTGGGACTGAATTTCGGACTGAGAGTTCAAGTCCCTCAAATGTAAAAATTAGGGCTGTCAAAATTTACGGGTTAACGCGGATTAATCCATCATCATGATTAATCTGATAAAAATTTTTAACGCAATTAACCAATCTGCAGCGCAGAATGATTCAAAATCACTGAAATGTCTCTGTCAACCCATTTCGGGTAGTTTTAGTGCGTTTCATTTCCCCTCGGAACTTGTATTCCGAGTCGGATTCCGGAGTTTTGAAGCCGGAAGTGACTACATGCGCTCCCGTTTCTCAGACATCCGAGAAATATCTCGGAGCAGCACAGAGGATCCCGACTCCCGAGTTCAGAATCCAAGATGGCTGCGCCCTTTATCAACAGAAGGGAAAGTTGTACTGTAGTCTTTCCCTGTGTAACAGTGTATTCTGTTTAAGCACTACTTCTCATTTGTGGCTCATTAAATCGGTCGCACACGCTTTACCGTCCAACTTATCTGTGGATGTGTTGCTACGGAGTTTTATATGTAAAGCACCGCACGTAATGTGTTATCAACTGATATTGCTAACAATGGCAATTAACCGGGCTAGAATAAGAATTGGACTGAATGATTAGTTGGATTATTTGTCGGATTTACGGTAGTTCGTGCTAATTGTAAGCGAACGAAGATAAAGACCATTTAAACTGAGGTACCTTAAATCCGACAAGTTGTCCGGCTAAGCAAAAAATTTTGCTTTTTGATATGGGTCCATGGTATTGCACTTCTGTGGCAGATGGAATGCATCCGACTCATGTTCAAGATGTTCAATAAACATGTTAAGTGCATATATATTCCTTTTTTTCTTGAGTCTGTTTGCAAAATTAAATGTGATTAATATAGATTAAAAATGAATGATATTTAATCATGATTAATCAAAATTAATCCACAGGAACCCTGTGATTAATCTGATTTAAAAATTTTATCATTTGACAGCACTAGTAAAAATATAAAACTATATAAACAATTACACTATTAAAGGTTTCTATTAACATATTCATTATCTAGGCTATTAAACGCACATTCTTACCTACATGCTTTAACTTTGCATTCATTTAATTTTTACTGACACGTGTCACCAACATTAATAAAGTGTGGAGCAGCTTTGACATAAATAAGGAAGCAATTTATTTTTCCCAAATTTGTGCAGAACCTTAATGATGTACACTTTGACAATGTTTCCATGCGAATGGGTCATGACAGTCTGATATTAAACCAACTTCCCAGTAGATTCAAAGTTATATTTTGGTGTTGTAGCTAAAAAGATGCGTTTACTACACAGAGGCCCACTGTGCACTGACAGACCTTCTGACAAAAATCATTTGTCAAATGCCGTTCACACGTTTAATGAGTCCATATGTACTTGCACTCACACAAGGATGTCAGCAGAGTAGGTGATCCTCCAATGCAGCCCAAGACATATTCGCGTTCAAACTGCTATAAGAATGAGAATATATATGTGTCCCAGACCACCTCTGAATGTGCTTTGAGTGACTGGATCTCGTTGAGTTTTCGATGCATTTTGGGTGCATTCAGACCTGTATTTATCACTGTCCACTTGTGATCGGAACACCTAGAATGCATGTTAATACCAGGTGTGAATAGGGCCTCTGGTGCTACACAGTGTCCTGGAGGGGGTCTCAGAGGGGCTGTAATTATGTAAGCTTCAAACGGGGATGCAATTTTTCACACATGCACACAAAGGGGGTGAGGCAGGTGGGGATAGGGCCACACTGACCTGAGCCATCAGGTATGGAGCGGACGAAGGTGGGCAGCATCTTGACTGTAGCCGTGGGGTTGGTGTCGCGCTTAAGGCCAAACTCCAGCTCCCGCCTGAAGCGGCCCATTACATCCAGTAGCGTCTCATCCGAAAAGCGCATGGCATAGAGGTACTTATCAATCTGTGGGAGAGAAAGGGGGTCAAGAGTCTGCTACCAACTACACATGCAAATGCACACAGAGCTCTAAGGGGGACCCTCTTCTGGGACAAGACAATGTCCACCATGATCATGAGTGTGTGTGTGTGTGTGTGTGTGTGTGGGGGGGGGGGTGGGACATGTATGTATGCCACATTGTGGGGACCAAATATGATAAAATCCTGTCAATTTGACCTTGTGGGAACATTTTTTTGGTCCCCACAAGGGGAAATTCAGTTTTATTAAAATCTGCGAATGCAATCAAAAAGTATACATTCTGTTTGTTTGGAGTACCAATTGAGCACTGTGACTCTTTATACTGAACTGGTGGGTTGAAACAAAATTTTGGTCTGGATTTTTGACTTTCTGGACCTGAACTATCCATCTCTGTTGTTTGGAAACTAAACTCAGTTTTCTAAAAATCTGGGACTGCAATAAAAAAATTAAAATAGCCAAAAGTCTTGTATTTTTCTTGGTTACTTATGGTTAAGGATAGGGCTGGATAGGTTGTCATTGTTGGGATTTGGGTTTTTTCCATAGAAATGAAGGGATGTTCCCCACAAAGATATGAGTACAAACGTGTCTGAGAATGTGTGTGTGTGAGTGTGTATCTGTGGGTGAGTATGTGTGTCTGTGTGTTTACTGGGTTTAGCTGCAGTGTGTTAAGTCCCCCTCCTGCTATTCTCACTTTGATCAATAACGTGCACACAGGTCACCTGAGGTCACAAACATCAGTCTTGTGATATAATCAATTTAAAGAGGTTTTTAAAAGTACATACCATTCATGTGTTTTTATACGGAAGACAAATTTAAGTGGTGCAATTCATCTCTTGGCAGTGTTCCTCACCCGGAAGTGGTGGTGAGATGGCGGACCACACAGACTCACTGGATGAGCCCATTATGGCTGGGATTAAGGAGGCTGCTTCCATACAGAATCAAGCACATTCCCACATGCCTGCTGTCTCACTCATGTTCAATGCTACACACCTGTCTGACAGATCATCCTTGAATAATAAACAAAAATTATGACACGCTCCAGTCCTGCTGGATTAGGGTTCATACTCAGGGCACACTCTGCCTTGGGGTCAAACAGGCTTTTCCCCAATACTACCTTTATGCATTTTATATTTCTAGAACTTAGTCAGAACAGAGAGTTACAATTCAAATTTATTAATTGGATTTTATCTTACGTTATACTGATTTTAATATGACAAGGTAATTAATTGCATTTTTTTAACCAATGTCCACACAATCCCCCTTTCCAGGAAAAGCTAAGAAAATTGCCCTTTTTTTGCATCCTCCTGATACAAAGGGAAACACAGAAATCCATAATTATTTTGTAATGGATGGTGTTAATCAGTAGTACTGTGACTTTGACTTTGTGGGAAAATATATGTGGGAAACGGAAATTGAGAGTAGTGTAACAAAAGCATTTTAATACACATTTTCCCCTTACAGCCCCTCCCCCCCAGCAGTACACATGCCTTGTGCAAATTGCAGTTCCTGTCTGGTTTAACTTCCTCCTCAGCAACTACCAATTTCTAGTAGGGGTCAGTGATCCTGTTGTTTAACCTGCAGGTTAACCTGGTTAAAGAAGCTTCGAGATGAGTCAGTGATGGGGGGTCTTATAGTTAACTGTCATAGTGGGTGAAGCACGACTCACAATGAATTTGCCTGCCCCCGGCTACTGAAGGACACCGGTGACAATGAGGCCTAGTGTGGTTGAAAGCAGCTAATCCCTCTGACTGTCACAGACATTTCCGCAACTCTAACTCCATATTGTTCCTTCCAAATCACAAAGCACACATTTGTATGAAACCACAGAGTATTTCCGTTAGAAGTATAGATTATTAAGTTAGATTATTAATTCTGTAACGAGTGGCCATAACAATATAGCATTATTTTTTTATATACAAATACAAGAAGACTATTCATTCTTATTTCCCAGACTAATACTACCACCACAATTCAAGCAGCTGGGTGGATGGATGGACGTGTGAACAAGGACTGCCAGCTGTCCCCTCACATTGCAAACGGATGGGGCTTCTTGTTAACTGAGGCACAAACAGCACACATCCTGCTACGGGGTTCGCGGTTCTATGTCAGCCTGGTTTTACTGGAAACGAAACATCTCCAGAATGGTCACATGGGAGCCACATTATTAGGGGGGCTCCTCCAGTAGCAAGAGGAAGGCATTCCAGGGACGTTCTGTCAATCTTACCCCGCCCATTAGTGGGGGGTGGTTGCTGAAATGAGATGGCTGCAGGGAGTGTAAGGCTGGTTGGCCAACTCGCGGAAGCAGGAGACTAATGACCCCCTCAGTTGAACACACACACCCGCTCACGCACTTGCGCACACACACACAGACACACACACACTGCTCCATTCCCCGTTTCAAGGGCATTGTGACCGGCAGGAAGATCTGCCGATGCTCTGACCCATAGCGCGAGCCAGGCCTTGTTTCATAAGCACTGCCAGGTGGGGGCCATGGGTGAGGAAGGGAGGAAATACGATGCCCTTGCCGCTCTCACTCTTTCACACACACATGCACCTGTTGTCACACTCAGTGCGTGACTCAGCCCCCCCCCCCACCCTGAGTCAGACACCCACCTTCTTGATCTGGTCATCCTTAAGTTCCGTGAAGTAGTAGGCCAGGAGCTGAGCAGCAATCATCTCGTCAGTCTGTGGCGCTAACAAGCCAGGCAAGAACAGCGAGGAAGTGGAGCCAAGGATCTCCCTGGCAACTGAATGGAAGCTCCTGGAAAACACGGCCTCAGATGGCAGAAGAACAGCAGCGACTAGCCCCTGGGCTCAGACGGATAGGGCAGCAGGCGTGTACAGGGACCCAGTGGCTCAGCCTCTCACTCGCACACAGCAGCAGATTAGTGTGAGCGTGCACAGCTCGCTTGCTTCAGAGACAGCAAGGGGGGTGGGATGGGGAGCTGGCTGGGGTCCCGCCCACTTCCTGATCCCTGATTGGCCGAGATACCCGAGCCGGCATGCAGGGCTGATGAGCAGGGAGGGGGGAGGAGCGAAGGAGCCAGAGTCGATGCCGATGGCCTCACCCTGCATTTACTATAGTAAGGGGGGGGGGCACGTACAGCACGTCAACAGGACGCCGCTTCCGCAAATGACACAGAGGCATCTCAGCTGAGGTCACACATCTTTTTCCAGTCCCTGGCTGTGCCCCTAGTTGAAAGACGAAGCGCTCAATGAATTACTCAGAGGTCTCCTTCACCAAAAAACACACACATATACTATCTACATGGTAGAAAAAATGCATACCAGTCAGAGGGGAGAGAGAGAGAGAGAGAGAGAGACGTTTTTGGCTCTTTTCGGACACGGTGTCTGTCTCCAGGCACTGGGCTCAGCTCATTCTTAAAGAAAATGACTAAAATAAATAAAGACACTCATCCCCACTCTGTTATTGAATTGCTGCTGTTTTTTAAACCAACTTACCCAGCAAAATATTACACCAATACTAACTGTTCTTCTGTCCACTGTTGTTTATATATTATGCCTTTTTAAAAATGCTTCTCACCTGAAACAAAGAAAGCAGCTAATTTAATGGACATGATGGACATTACTGTGACAACATCAATGCTGGTTAATACATTTACAGTTACATTTATTTTATTTATTTGTCCAAAGTGACTTAATTTAGGCAATAATTAAATTAAAAAGTAAGATTCTTTGGTTCCAACAGATGGATAAGTGAAATAGAGGATGTCTCTCTCACATTCACGCACGCACGCACGCACGCACGCACGCACGCACATGCGCACAAGCTTGTGCCTTAACCCCGCCCTTTGGGCCCCCCCCACTCAGCCACAGCATGTGTGTAACCCAGCATATATGCATTGCCTCCCGCCTCTGTGTGTCATAGACAGCTTCACAACCTTGACAAGGTCATACATATGCCCATGACTAAATTTAGTCCTCTGATACTTCCTTTCAAAAAGCACCCTGAGGATTTATCCTAAGAAAGCTGAACTGTGGTCCAAAGGAGGGGAGATCCCAGCCTTAAATGGGGGGAGGGATTTTCTGTTAATAAACATATTCTAGTGAATATGGTTCACACATTTACGTTAACCCCTGATGACTTTGTGATGAAGGTGATTTTTTTTTTCTTTTTTGCCGAGGGGGATTTCCTTAAAGGGTTAAAACATCCTGGGTCTGGTTGCATTGTTCTAGAGTCCCAGGCAGTAATTTGAAGCCTCAAGATGGCGGGGGGGACAACAAGAAGCATTGCCCCTCCCCCTCTGGCTGGGGGAGGCAGGATAAATCAGTGTCATCAATCCAGAGTTACACGTGGTCACTGGGGGAGGGAGAAGGGGGTGGGGGTGTGCTGGTTTCCTGAAGGGGAGCTGATGTCAGGGCAGTGAGTGTGAAGTGACACCTGTGGACTGCCAATGAATGGGAGGCCTTCAGAGGTAAGCATTCTTAAAATGGAAAGTGACGACTGACAATTGAAAGGGGTGAGGTATGTGTGTGGCAGGGGGGCAGAAAGAGGAGAGAGAGAGATATGGAAGGAATCCACTGCACGACTCTGGGACACTCCAACCTCACAGGAACAGCAGTTACATTTTACAGTTAGCACTTATCACATGAACTTACCTCATAAAGGAGAGTTTTTGGAATTGTGATCACCGTTTCATCACCTGTGTCACACAGCCACACCCAACCTGAGAAGAATGTGAGAGGCCTCACCTTTGACCAGCTTTGGCGAAAGCGCCTGTTCCTCTTATCATATCCTGCCCCTAATGTAAACATCACCAATGGTAGTGCCAGGGGGCAGTAAGTGTGGGGGTCCGGGGTGGATCTAACAGGATCTCACTTTGACATGTATACCTATACACACATTCACAGAAGCTAAACTCAGCATGTTATAATACTTGCTTGGGGACAGGATTAAACACAGGCAGGCTCATACAGTTACTTACATAAACATCTGCATAGTTTGTCAATTCAAACTGTCACGAACGTCAAAACAAGGCATGACCCAAATGTAGGCTATATTCCAACAGACCCCACGTAGGGGTGATTATTAAGGATGTGATGTACATGTGAAATCCCATTTTACATTTTTCCTCTTGTTTTTGAATGTCGGATAGGCATAGAGACACTGAAGATGCCTACCAAAGACTGAGATGATGTTAACCAAACACGACTTATATATAATATATCAGTGTTTATCCTTAACAGTAGAAAAATTATGCAAAACTGAAAATTTGCAAAAGTAATATTTATTCTGGTGGATATTTCTTTAAGGGGCCTCATTGAGTGGCACTGTTGCTTCCCATTTCCAGGGTTGGCTGCATGAATTTCACCGTGTTCTGCCTGTGTGGAGATTTATGTTCTAACCCCAAACCCCAGGCCAAAGGCGTACAGCTATGCTAAGCAGCAACTTCAAATTACCCATTGCCTCAGATGAACAGGCTTCCTGTCCAGGGTATTGCTGCGACCGATTTAATGAGCCACAAATGAGAAGTAGTGCTTAAACAGGATAAAACTACAACTTTCCCTTCTGTTGATAAAGGGCGCAGCCATCTTCGATTCTGAACTCGGGATCCTCTGCGTTATCCGAGATATTTCTCGGATCTCTGAGAAATGGGAGCGCACATGTCATAATTTCCGGCTTCGAAACTCGGAATCCGAGTTCCGAGGGCAAATGAAATGCACCATATACCCTGGCCATGTGGGACAGGCTAACCCTAATCTGAACCCTCTGATGGAAAGACGTCCCATCAAGGGTGTACCCCAGCCTTCTGCGATACACTAATCCTAACCCTAATTTGGGGACTAAGGGTTACACAACTGGCCCTTGGAATGTCTGAAAAATGTTATCAAACCCAGCTAATTTGTAGTTTCCCTGTATACGGGGCCCCAGCACAATAATAAAACACCTTTGGGTGTTATAAAAGCCAAAATCTTTCTAAGCATAAACCTAGCTGTTGTTGACTAACCCTAATTTGGGAATTTAGGGCTGGTTTATACTCCATGTATGCAACTCAAGCGGTGCTGCTGCTCATACACTATATTGCCAAAAGTACAAGTCTGTGGTCAGAATTCACAAACTGGGCACTTCTGTAGACCTTGCAATTCTGCAGGAGCCTCCATTGTCTGCCCACAAGGACGTGATCGATCTCCTTTGCTGCACCACCAGTATTGGAGTACCAAGTCCAACAATGCGGTTCAGGCCGTTGGAACCAGGATCCAATGACCTTTCTCAAAGTCAAGGAACATGGAGCCACTTTCACCCCAGTCTCCAAACCCATGGGTGACAATCTCTGTCAGAGTCAGTGGTCATATTGAAGTCACTCATGACCAGAGGAGTGTCAACTCGTGGGCACCCTTCAAGCACCAAGCGAAGTTGCGAGTAAAATGTCTCCCTCAATGAGACATCATTCACTGAGGTTGGAGCATGCACTGAGACAACAGACAAGACACCCAAGGAGTGCCTTAACCTGTGTTTCATAATATGCTCATTGAAAGAAGTAACATCAGACACCATCAGAAGGAGCTGATCCGCTACAGCAACAGCTACTCCCTGAGTATGGCAGCCATCAAACCAACAAGATCAAAGGTATACCCACCTACAGAGATATGGAAACTCCCTGGTCTATGTACCTCAGAGACGGCTGCCACTGAAACACGGAGTTTACAAAGCTCCCCTGACAGCAGAGGAAGATGGTGATCTTTCTAGAGAGACAAGACGTTCCATGCACCTACCCGGAAGGGTCGCCTCAAACTGGGACCCAAGTGCTGCCATACAGCAGGCAACACCTCAGCACCACACCAGCCCCAATCCCCAATAGGTCTGACCCTATAAGCTCTCCGAAGCTTTCGACTCATCCGGGGATGGGGCTCCCAAAGGCTTTCCCCCATCCCCTTCATGGTGTGTGCAGCCTTCCTACAGACAGCTGCAGCAGAGCTACTCCCACAGAGAGCAGAAGAGTATCGTGCTTGTTTAAATCAAGCAGTTGTGAGGTGCTTTACGGTGGCTAGAGTGCTAATCCCGCCACCAACCCCTAAAAATTGTTTCCCTGAAAGTTGGAGGACCGCTTGCAGGGCCGGATGCAGTTTAACATCATACCCAACGGTTAGAAAAAAAGAAAGTATCCTAGGTATTTGGGACTTGGATATTGTAAATAAGCACTGTCAGCTTTGGGAAGAGAGACCGGAAATGCTGTAAGTGACGTCAGACGCTGGAGACTTTGCGGAAAACTTGAATGAACAGTGAGGACAGCGAGGGGAATTTGGAATCACTCCAAGAATACATTGACTGGTACTTCGACACAATAGTCATGAAGAAGAACCTAAATACATCTTCCCCGGGCAAAAGCAAGACGCTGTCATCCAAAAGAAGTCGCCCGGCAGACTCCCCCGGACCAACTTCCCCGACTAGTAAAGACTTTGCCGACATCCTGAATACAATCGACAAGCGATTGTCCAGCTTCGATGCGAGGTTGTCTCAGGTTGAGATTTTACATCAGGAGTTCAAATCCCTGAGGGAGTCTTTGGAATTCAGCCAGCAACAGGTGGAAACACTCACTGCTGAAAACACCTCACTACGGGACTCGGTTAAGTCTCTAACTGAGAATGGAACCAATTTAAAAGAAGAAAATAAAAAAATAAAAGAGACTATCATCGATGTCAAAGCCCGTAGCATGAGAGATAACCTGGTGTTTTCAGGCATCCCGGAATCTGCTGAAGAGGACGCATAAATTACTGTTAAAACATTTATCAAGACCCACCTGAAGCTTCCGGAGGACACTGTGGAAAACATCTGCTTTGAAAGAGTCCACCGGCTGGGAGCTAAGAGGCCTGGTGCCCTGAGACCGTGTTCTATTGTGGCTAAATTAGGAAATTTCAAGCAGAAGCAGCAGGTGAAGAGTCGCGGCAGAGAGCTGAAAGGAACGGAC